ATATATATATTTTTTTTTTATTTTTTTTTATTTTTAGTTGTTACTTCGTATCGGCCCCGGCCCTAGATTACGCTGAGACTGGCTATTGAGACTGGGTGTGGTGGCGCCTGCCTGTAATACCAGCTTTTGGGAGGCCGTTAACAGGTGGATCACTACAAATCCGTTCTAGTAGTGAGACCCAGAACACCCTGTAGGCCCTTCCCTAAAAATGCAAAATAAATAAATAAAGGAAAGAAAGAAAAAAAAGAAAAGTCAATAGTTTCGAGGGCCAGCTAAATAGCTCAGCAGATTAAAGTTCCAGCAAGCAGGCCCAGGAGCCAGATGTTCGATCCCAGGGCCTGCCTTGCCACCGCCGCCCCCCCCCCCAACGCCCGCACTGAGATGGTGATTGAGACTGGGCATGGTGGTGCACGCCTGTAATCCCAGCTCTTTGAAGGCTGTAAAGAGGTGGATCACTAGGAGTCCGGTCTAGTACCGAGACCCTGAATACCATATAGACCCCTCCCTAAAATTAAAAAAAAAAAAATTGTTGCTTATTTTTAGTAGTGGGAATTGAATCCAGGACCTTCGCACTGTTCCACCTATCCAGCCTCCCCCTCCCATTTTTAATTTGAGAAGGTCTTGCCAAGTCACTGAGTTGCCCAGGCTGGGCTCAAAGTTGTAATCCTCCTGCCTCAGCTTCCCAGAGTGCTGGGGTGCCAGGTGTCCGCCAATATACCCAGCTAGGTGGATTCTTACTGGTTTTTTTCTTCCTGGAAAACCCAGTTTGAAGCTGGCATGGTGGTACACATCTGGCATCCCACCCAGTACTTCAGTTGAGGCACGAGGATGGCTGGGAGTTGGAGGCCTGTCTGAATTCAGAGCAGGACTCTTGGTTCAAAAAAACTCCAAAACAGTTCTCGCATTTTTCTTTTTCCTGATAATCTGGGAACCCTCAGGGTTTTTTTCTGAGTCCCTAGGATGGCCCAGCGCAAAGGACTGAACCAACATGGGTTTATTGAGTGAATAATTGATTGACTCATTAGTCTTTTTTCTTGGTTACTCCAGGAATACAACCAAAAAATATAACATAATGGCTTTCAATGCAGCCGATAAAGTGAACTTTGCTACGTGGAATCAGGTAGATCCCTGGTTTAGGGGTCTGGGAGGGAAGGGACTGAGAGAACCTGACCTTAGATGTGGGGGTTGGAATAGTTGCTTGGCTGTCACAGTCACAAGCTTAAGCTTCCGCTGCTTTCCCCAAGTGGACATTAAGGACCTTGAAGGCCCTGGCCAAGCGGTGGCCCAGTGTAGGGAGGTGGCGAATGTTCCTGATGGGAGGGCTACAGCCCAAGCACATGGGGGCCCTGACAGCTTTCTCCCCCAGGCCCGGCTGGAGCGGGATTTGAGCAACAAGAAAATTTACCAGGAGGAGGAGATGCCTGAGTCGGGTGCAGGCAGCGAGTTCAACCGGAAGCTCCGCGAGGAGGCCCGGCGCAAGAAATATGGCATCGTGCTCAAGGAGTTCCGGCCCGAGGACCAGCCCTGGCTGCTCCGAGTCAACGGAAAGTCGGGCAGGAAGTGAGTGGTGATGGGGAAGGTGCCACGTGAGGCCCACAGGGAGCAGCCCACATCTGGGGCCACGTACCCAGGGGGCGTGCTGTCCTCTCCAACCTCAGCTCCCTAAGTGTGCAGTAGGGATGCCAGCACTTCCTCATCTTACTTATTTATAGTTATTTATTTGTTACGGTATGGGGATTGAACCCAGGGCCTTTGCCTAGAGCGCATCACCAGCCCTTTCTATTTTGGGACCGGGTCTCACTGAGTTGGTAAGTTACTCAGGCTATGCCTGGTCCTCCTGCCTGGGATTTAACCCCGGGCCTTCACACTGAGGCATATGTGTGGCCCATTTAAAATTTTTTTGTTGTTTTTGCGGTACCATTTACCAAACTTGGGACTTTGTACATGCCAAGTGCTTATGCCACTGAGCTCTCTATCTTCCCAGCCCCATTTTCAATTTTTGATTTTTTTTTTTTTTGAGACAGTGTCTATGCAATTCAGGTTCACCTTGAGCTCACTTTATAGGCCAAGCTGGTCTCAGACTTGCAGTGATCCTCCTGCCTCAGCCTCCTGAGTGCTGGGATTATAAGTGTGTGCCACCATGCCGGGCTTGATTTATTTTTAATATTAATATTATTGTTATTGTCTTCTTTTTTGGAGAGTACCAGGAATTGAACTCAGGGCCTCCCCTCACGCTTGGCGGCAGGCTGTGCACTGCTGTGTGATATCCCCAGCCCTCATCCTGATTTTGTGACAGGGCCTTGCTGAGTCAGTAAGTTGCCCAGGCAGGGCTGGCACTTGCCCTCTCCCCGCCCAGAACACAGGGAGCACCAGCGTGCAGTGACACCGTACCAGGCCGTGGGAGGTGGGGCGGGGACTTGGTGTTCCTCAGAAAATGAAGTCAGTGTGGGGACTCTTGGGTCACCATACTGGAGGGGTGGTCTGTGGGCAGAGTGGAGGAGCTAGGTCAGGCACCCGAGAGCATTCTAGGCACACTGCATGACAGTGACAGATCAGGATAGGAGGTACCAGGGTGCCGCGAGACCCTGGGAAGCCTTGAAGGTGTTAAGCCAGGTTAGGCACTTAGAGCAAGATTGCAAACAGCATGGTGTGGTGGCACACACCTGTAATCCTGGCACAGCAGGAGGCTGAGGCAGGAGGATGTCAAGTTTGAGTCCCACCTGGGGAACTTAAGGTGATCCTGTTTCAAGAAATAAAAATGGCTGGAGGGGCTGGAGAGATGGCTCAGTGGTCTAAAGCACCTACTTAGAACAAGCTTAGCAAAGCATCAGGGACCGCGGTTCAATCCCCCAGCACC